CCATTGTCAGGTATAGGTAAGGTCCGACTGTATTCGGATTCAGATTTAGACCAGAATATTATTCGGTCCAAGTTTTAGATCTAAACCTGATCTATCGAATCCAAAAGTTGGACCCATACCCATACCTGTCAGGTCCTAGGTCTATCATGTCGGGTCCCGAGTCCGATTGGGTCCACTGCCACTTTTACTAGGATAGTATTCGGGTTTACGTTTTGCACCAAGACTCAACCCATCAGGTCCAAAAGTTGGACCCATATCTATACCTGTTGGGTCTTGGGTCTAACCCATCTGGTCTTGGGTCTAATGGGGTCCATTGCCACCTTCATTATGAGCTTCTTTTTTTTGTTTTTTTTTATCATCATATACTCATCTTATTAGCAATAAAGTCACAAGCACCCGCCATTAGATTTCAAGCCATCTAATATGTCGTTTAATAGCTATAAATTGTTATCATATATTGTCTTTAATACACCCAAACGAATAGGGTTTGAAGTATTTTATCTCTAATAATTTATAGGTACAGGTCATGTCCAACTGAACCCAAACCCTAACCCGAACCCGAATAGTATTCAGATCCAAGTTTTGAACCTGGACTCGGACCCGACCAGCCGGGTCCAAATGTTGGACCCCATACCTGGATCCATATCACGTATACCCAACAGGTCCCAAGTTGGGTCCATTGCCATCCCTATTTCAAATGGTCCTCTTCAAAAATCCATTTTAGATTATTGATTTGGACTTAAAATTTTAAAATTTTATTGGTCGATAATCTCCAATCACCACGATAATAAACAACATAAAACCGGTGGATTTGATCCCTAAAAGTAGATTATTTTAAAGAGAAATTTATCCGTTATCCCATTTAAAATTATAATTATGAAATATCTTACATTAAAACTATAATGACAATGTTTTTAATAAAATACACAGATTAATTTCTCTATTTAATTTTTTTTTAATCCCCACGTTGTGTGTTAATTCTTCACCACCCATCAAGTTCTATATTGTTTTCCTAGAATAAATCAATAATCACCACACAAAAAGAAGTTTTACTCGAGACATAACGAGGATTGGCACCAAGAGGAAAGGGTAGCCTTGAAAATAATAGACCAAAATGGTGTATAAATAGAGCCTGAAATGATGGTCGGCACGACATCAAAAAGTTGGGGCACAGGCGCCAATCAGACAACGCCACCGTCAGCAGGCAAAAAAACACCCGTTTTTTAGGAAAATCGTTGCATGCTTTGGGGGACGCAATTCTACATTTACATCCCCAGGTATAATGCGTCCATCTTTGAGATGGATGCAAATGGGCGATCCACCTAAAACCATTTGAAACTACTGGTCTAAATATTTTTTTCATAAAATTATTATTTTTAGTTTTAAAATTTATGTATTGTTTTTATAGGGAAAAATTTATATAGAGGCTCTAAACAATCAAATAAGAGCATTAGAAGAAGTTGTTTTGATGCCCAAATATCCTCAAATTGATCGTTGCGACATCAAGATGCATGAACATGAGAAAAAAAATGAATTTCAAGTTTCGAAAATAGTGTATTTTATAATGCATTTTTGAACAGTCAATTTTCAAGATTTTCAAGTTTTCATAGATCTGTCGATCTACACTAATTTTGAAGCTTTAAACTTTATAAATAAAAATAAAAATATATTTTAAAGTTATCACAAAGATTTTCAATATCGAAACCACATTTCTTGATACTATTTGAAAGTAGGCTCTAATTTGATTATTTAGAGCCTAGCCTGGCTCTATACAAACTGCAGCTTTTTTTATATCCATGGCCTCTATTTTAGAGGACACGGAGACTCACCTATTACAGAGTGGACCCTTATCGATCAGGTGTCCATCTCTAATATGGATATAAAAAAATGTTACATCTACTAAAAGTTAAAATGGACGGTGAAAAAGGGAATTCAAAAAATCTCTTATATTTTTTGAAAATGAGAACTACCAAATTTAGACCATCGTCATAGTTGAGAACTTAATATTATCGAACTTTGAAATTTAGATTGAAAATACATCTTTGAGATATATTTTATAAAGAGACCACACAAGAATCTTTTACTTTATTTTTTTCATATTTATTATCTCCATTTTAGAGATTATATATCCATTAAAAAAAAAGTCCAAAAATCCATATCAAAAATAGATTTTAAAAAAGGGGACTCATATTTACATGGACATATATAAAGAACTGTCCCTTTCTTTTTCTTTTATTTTCCTTTGCAAAATGGGTAATTTCTCACCCACCAAGGTATGTAACGTTGCTTTGGTCTTGATCATCTCTATATTTACAAAACAGCCCCCAGACATAGTAGATGCTACACCATGTACATTTTGTTTGTACCAATGGATTCGAATTTTTTGAGGGCCGGGACATGTGACCTCAATCATGTTTCATGGAAATTACGACATGAGAAGAAAGCAAAAGCAAAATCTCCCTCCCTCATGATTAGTGCGTAATGCAATGAAATTCTTATTCTAATCATCGGATTATTATTTATGAGCTAGTATTCCAAGCTTTGTGGGAGCATATGTTGTCCATCTACTCCGTCAGGCAAATGATCAACTTTGGAGCGATTTTAACACGAAAAATTATTGGAATAACCCTTGCACTACTTAGCAGTTTACCCTTTGACGTTGTTCCAACTCATGACCATGTGTCTAGGTATTTTTGAAATTAAATTAAATAGTACACGAGTATTTGATGATTTCCTTTTTCTAAAACT